ATTTCATAAGATTTATTTACATGTATATTTTTTGCAAGTCAACCACAATAATATGCAAAAATAATCTGGATCGTTTGAAAACACATGAACTAGAAGTTGAAAAATCACTTAAATTCTAAGTACACGCACGTGGGTACATTACGAAACCATCAAACCAAAATCCCGATTTTCACCAAGTTGAAAAACAAGTTATTTAAATAATAATTCTTCGAATAAATCGGTTAAATTTTATTTGGCTCTCTGATTCCAGTACAAATTGGCAGATATCTTTAGACCAATGAATCTGATCAATAATCTTTTAACAGTTTTCTTTTCTTTTCCAAAAATTCTACAGAATTAAAATTATGTGCTGCCTATAAAAGATTTTCTTTAAATTCTTCTATATATTTTTTTTCCCGAAAAATGGCTATGGCAGAGCCAATTAGCCAGAGTTGTTTGTGTTAATTGTTAAAATCGACTGAATTTTAATTATTATAGATTGCAGATTCATAGTCAAAATTTTCTTATCAGTTATCGATGTTATTACTACATATACCTAATATTTTTATAGATAAATAAATTTTGTTTTGATATATTTTTGTTTTTTATTCTTTTGTTTTCTTGTTTTTTTTTGGTTTCTCTTTTTTTTGTTTTTTTTTGTTTAATTTTTTTGTTTTGTTTTTTTTTTGTTTTTTGTATTGTTTTTTTCTTTTTTTTTGTTATTTTTTTTTTGTATTTATCTTTTGTTTTTGTTCTATTTCTATTTTCTTAATTCTTTTTTTTTATTAATTTATGATATACGTTTTTTTTGTTTTTTTTTGTTTTTTTTTTTTCAAACCATATTAACAGATTATGACTATATACTATTTACAACTTGTATTTACATATTTTAACATGTTTGTAAACGCAATGAAGAATTTCCATATTATTTGAAAATAGTAAAATATTAAGGTTTATTGGAAAACAACACTTAGAATTTATTAATTCCTTATAAAGTTCGTTTATATTATTTATTTGTAAATCACATTCTAATATAATATATATTAGATCGCCTATTTTGCCGCAAGTACAATTGGGAGTATTTGATAAGCCGATTCCATTCATGTAAGATGGCGTAAGAGCATGATTTGCTCTTAGCCGATTAATGGTCTTTATAAAATGTCGATTAGATTCTGTGTAAAACCATCTTCTTGAGGGTATCCTAGTATTACAATGATAAAAGTTTAAGCCCGTCTTACATTCTCTGTAATGTAAATGGCAATTATTTTTAAGTTTTTGTCTACTAACGGTGTCAATATCTGTCGCTGGAATTAAATTTTTGTTTACTTTTTCTCCAAGCATATATGCTGATTTAGCTAAATTGTCAACGATCTCATTGCCTTTTATTCCTGAATGGCCCTTGATCCATGTAATTATTACATTTAGTCCTAATTGTATAGTTTCAGAAAGAATTTTTAGAATTTTCAGTTCAATGTGGTTTATATGTTTGGCTGTTTGAATGTTGTTGAATCTGTCGACCACACTTTTACCGTCAGTAAATATAACATAGTTGCTAGACGGCTTCAGTACTATATACTGAAGAGAAAACATTATTGCCATCATTTCTGCTGTGTATATTGAGCATTCACTGGGTAAGCTATACTGGTGATGGTAATTTTTATTTTCGTGGAACATTGCACAGCCCGTTCCATTTGCATCTTTTGACCCATCAGTAAAAATGTACTGATAGTTTGTCCATTTTTCTTTAATAATTATATCAAACATATTTGGGAGTAAATGTGAGTTTAAGTAACATATTTTAACCTTTTTAGAAAATAGTGTTTTTGCCATTTCACCGTAGTAGGGCGCAATTTGGCTTGTATAGAGAATATCGTTATATTTAATCGTACTTAGATAGCTTTCTACCAAAGGTATAGATTTTTTAGTTCTCCAGTATCTATGAGTGAGGTCTAAAACTGCTAGCTCATTAAGATCTTGCAGGTATTTACAATTTTTGGACATAATTCGGACTGTAAATTTGTCGCTAAGGAATTGGCGGCGTAAATGCAATGGAGGTTCCACCGCTTCAATTTCCATTATTTGGACTGGAGTGGATTTTAAATAACCTAGGCATAATCTCAGGCATTTATTTTTTGAACTTCAAGTTTGTTTAGATGTGTATTGGTCGCCGATCCAAATAAATGACAGTTATAGTCGAAAATTGGCCTGATCATGTTACGGTAAAACATCAAAGCAATATTTGGGTCTGCTCCAAAATTTGTTTTACAGAAAGCTCTTAAAATGTTTAATGAGTTTTCTGATTTTTTAACAATTTGATGAATGTGATCTTTCCATAATAATTTTCTGTCTAGATAGGTACCAAGATACTTAATACAGTTTTTTATAGGAAAATTAAATTTTCCCACATTAAGATTGCCTTGTGGAACTCTATGTTTTTGTGAAAAGTAACACATCTCAGTTTTTGTGTCAGAAATTGATAATCCTATTTCTTCATAGTACTGATTTACGATTTCTAATGTGGCTTTCAAATTATCCTCACAGGTACTTGACAATTTTCCTGCTGTATATAAAACAGCATCATCAGCATATTGAAGAATTTTTGTATGGTTGGGTATACTAACTTCAAGATCTATGTTGTACAGGATATATAAAATCGGGCTTAAAATACTCCCCTGTGGCAATCCAATATTGGTTAGTCGGGGGTATGAATATTCCTTATTATTAATTTTTTAAAAAGTTAGTCTGTTAGAATATAAAGATTTTAAAAGAGGGCAAATGATCTAGGGATTCCAATATACAACATTTTTCGGTAAAGAATGTCTAAATTAACATTATCAAAAGCAGCAGAAATGTCAAAGAACGCAGCTGCTGTAGACTTATTTGACGTAAAATTAAGCTGAATTGAAGTAACTAGAGCTGTAGTTGCATCTTGAGTGGACCTAGACTTGCGAAAACCATATTGGGAACTTGGAAGTATACCATCGTGTTCTAGCCAATGTTCAAATCTATTTTTAATTATTCTCTCAAATGTTTTTAAAAGACATGAAGATAAGGAGATAGGTCGGTAAGAACTTGGATCACGTTCTCGTCTGCCAGGTTTTTTAATCGGAATTATCAGGTACTCTTTCCAACTATTCGGTACTGGTGTCTTATTTGTCCAAATATTGTTGAAAATATGTACTAGTGAATTTTTATATTCTATAGGTAAGTTGTATAACAGTGAGTATGACACATTGTCAATACCTTTATATAATCTATATATTTTGTTTGAAAATATTTTTATTAAATAATTCATTACTTAATTGAGTGGTAGCCAGAACACTTACTTACTGAGTGTTTTTTAAGGAGCGTGATAGCGTTCAAAGAGTGAAGATCTTTGTTCCATTACTGCTTTTACTGTAGACTTACCGGTTCTTTTAATAGAAGAAAGCCTATTTTCCCAATATTAACTAAACCATGCTAGTTTTCTCAGCAATAAACAACCAAAAAATATTTTGTTTCCACTCCCATCTTTGTCGAGTGAACGAAGATAAAAATGTTTAGTTAATTTTTAATGGACTTAACTGAAAATTGTTGGTACTACGGCTCAAAGCCCGTATTACTGTCAAAAAATGCTAGACTGGTTTGCTAAATGCTAGTTTGTTTAGAAGCTCGGCAGGGATATTATTTCGTTCTATATATCATCGCAATTTCAGTCAAAACATTTCCCCACGGGCTTAAACATTACACGCTGACTCGTCTAATCAGAAACTTCGACATCAGTTTGTGAAAATAATTCAATAAATGTTTATTCTAATCCACGAGAACGAAAATGTGCTTATTAGGAGAATTTTATGACGCAAATTTAAATTTTATACATAATGGGGTTTTAAATACGTTAATTAAAATTTTATAATTTTTTTTGACTTATTACAAGATGTTAGATCACGTAAAATTCAAGAAAGTACTGACTTGTTCAGAGTTTGATCTTCAACTGAGACTAAGGTTTACTAAGTGCTACGTATGGTCAGTGCTGCTATATGGCGTAGAGGGCTGGACACTCAAAACGAGGGATATAAACAGATTAGAAGCTTTCGAAATGTGGCTTTATCGCAGTATTATAAAAATACCATGGACAGCGAAAATCACAAATATAGATGTCCTTAAAAGAATAAACCAAGAACGCCAACTTTTCGAAACCATCAAGAAAAGGAAAACGGCGTATCTAGGTCACATCATGCGAAATGAAAAATACCAGTTCCACCAACTTATAATCGAGGGTAAAATTGAAGGCAAGAGAGGAATGGGACGCAAGAAAATGTCCTGGCTCAGAAACATAAGGCAATGGACAGGGATTAACAACATACAATCTCTGATACATATTGCAAGAAATAGAGAATTAATGGAAAATGTGATCGCTAACATCCATTAGTGGATTTGCATCTGAAGAAGAAGAAGAAGTTAGATCATTCTCATATCTTTGTCATCGAGACTAATCTCCATCAACTGTTGTATTAATAATTTATGTCTAGATTTTGAAGTTATGGAGTTTGAGGGTAATTACTATATAAGAACAAAGTTACAAGAAACGTAAAGACATTCATTACACATTTGACACGTTTAAGTATATATGCGGAATAATTTGCAGAATATTGATAAACTAGACAAAAAGCGATACATTAATAAAACTTCAGAGGTCAATTAGCAGACCTACTCTGTTATACGAATGTGAAAGCTGGGTAGTGATTTAAGGAGATTTCTCAGAAGAATGGAATGCATAACAAACCTTATTAGACAATTAAAAGCAATATATAAGAGAAGAAATTCTCGATCAGTGAGAACATTAAGAAATATGGATCACAATGAAAGAACATATGAACAGAATGGATGAGATTTCACTAAATAAACAAATACTAAATTATAAACCACAATAAACAAAACAATATAGATCGCCTCATGAAAAGATGGAACAAAACCATCTTTGAAACCAAACTGAGGGTGTTCTATTGGTTGGGTTCCGTTTTATAAAAAAAATGCAATTTATATAAAAAATCTTATATTTACATAAACATTATCGTCAGTTTCTTAAGTACAAAAACAACATTTTATAAAAAAATACAAATTTGCTAATACAAAACATAATAATCACATTTTTCTAGTTCTCAGGTACTCTTGTATTTCTGGTATACTTTTTCCCTTAGTTTCGGGTATCATAAAGTAAATAAAGGTAGCACCGACGAAGCAGATACAACAGTACAGCCAAACGCACCAATGTATTCCTAACATCTCTTCCATGAAGGGATAGGAGGAGGTTGTGACAAATATGCAGAGCCCCATAGCGGCTGTCACTACTGACACCGCAGCTGCTCTCATATCTGGAGTAAAAAGTTCTCCCATGATGGCCATAGGAATTGATCCCAGGCCCAGGGCGTACATAATAACGTTGCATACTATGCAAACTAGCGGAAGAAACTGTATACTGGGTACGAGTGGGGAGTTTATATGTTTTAAATAAAAGAAGAAGCCGAGAATTAGGAGGGGTATGCCTGTGCCTATCGATGATATCAAGAGCATCGGCCGTCTTCCAGTTCGTTCTACAACTAATGAAGTCAGTGTGATAGTGCTAACTTTTATACAGCCTACAATTATGGACATATAATTGCCCGAAAAACCAGCGGCGTTGAAGATAGGTGCCATGAAAGCCATGACTATTGTCACACCTGACAAATTCTGCACCAAAACTGGTCCAAGAGCTAGTACCATCGCGAAACGTAGCTCTTTTGTACTAAAAATCTGGAAAATATTACCACTTTTGGCATTTTCTTTTTCTTTAAGAGTATCTTCAAGTTTTTGAATATCGTGTTGTATTTCTTTTTCAGTCTTATTGCTTCGCAACTTTGTTAAGGTCTCTTCGCATTCTTTCCTCCTTCCTCTCGATAACGAATATACTGGCGATTCGGGAACAAAGAAGAAAAAAATTAAAAAGTAAGCTGCAGGAGCTGCTAGTAGAAGAGAGTAACATTTTAAAGAAAAAAACGAACCTAAAATATAACTGTACAAATTCCCTAATGGTAAAAACACCATCGATAGACAACCATATTTAGCTCGATTATGATCCTCACAAATTTCAGTTATATAAACGGGAAAAACTGTCAAGGTACCGTTATAAAACATATACAAAAAACACCTAAATACTACAATTAATATTACTTTTGTACTAAAAGCTATTATAACTGCGGAGACAAAAATTCCCAGTCCAATAACTTGCAGACACTTCTTAGGACCTATTATTTGAGAAAGTCTTCCTAAGAGAAGGGATCCAAGCAGCATCATAAGTGGCGGAAGACCTGCTATCATTGACACTTCCGTGGTAGTTATGGGTCTACCTATGGGATTCTCTTCGCTGTTGATTCAGCTGAAGCTTGGGGATCGCCGGGGAGGTCCATACGAAGGATCCGCCGCCTACTATTATGGGCATGCATCCTGGAAAATAAAAAAAGACAAATTGAAAAATTGTGATTAATTGCTTTTTAAAGTTTTTATAAAGTAGTTATCTAATTTTGAAAATAAAACGAATACACTTTTCTTTTAATTGTTTGTTTTACAATAATAATTCTAACATAATTTTCAAACATAGCATCCGTTTTATTTCATATTTTTTGAAAGCGAAGTTTCTATACTAGCGTTGTACTATTTTTTTCTTTGCAGTAAAATGCTGCTCCGAGCGTCACGGAACTAGCGTCACAAGATAGCGTCGTCACGGGTAGCGTCATAGAATAGCGGTTCTGGACATCAATTAACTACTCTCGATCAAGTCGTTTCTAGCCATCATATATTTACTCTAAGAAGGTTGAAATTAAAAACTTCAAGAAAAATAACTAACAAAATATAGACAATTAAAATTATTTTATATAAATGCAATAATTATTTTTAAAGATTATTTAGTTTATATAATAATTAAATTTAATATCGAATGATATATTTATATTTTTTTATCAGCCCAGATACTCCTACTGTCTGTTAAAACGTATGCTTTACAAATTTATGTATTATTCTACTTCTACCACTATTCCCTAAATATCACAACGTTGCCTGCCTTTTAAATATGCATCAGTATTGGTTTGCTTTTATCTGCAGTCGACGTTTAGGTAAGTAAGGTGTCGAAAATTTGCAATAAATATTAGCGTACGTGGTATAGTTGTTCGAACAACCTGGTGTAATTATGTAAGTGAACTGTATAATGATGATAGACCCGAAGAACCGGAGACTTTAGTTGAAGGTGAAGGACCAGAAATACTAAAATCAGAAATACTGCATGCTATAAAGTTAGCAAAGAACAAGAAAGCCGTTGGCCCTGATAACATACCTACAAAGATGTTAAAGCTTATAAATGAGGAGAACATTGGAATACTGGTCAAACTTTTTAATGATGTTTATTCGACTGGTGATATCCCTGAAGATTGGTTAAAGTCCGAATTCATAACACTACCAAAAAAACAACGTCCGAAAAACTGTAGCGATTATAAATGATAAGCCTTATGAGCCACACTTTGAAAATATTTCTACGCATCATCCAGTAGAATCAGAGATAAATGTGAAGAAGATCAGGATGAAACACAATTTGGCTTCAGAAATGGACTGGGAACTCGGGACGCCCTCTTTGCACTAAATGTATTACTGCAGAAATGTCGAGATCAAAGGAAAGACGTCTTTGCTGTATTTATTGACTATGAAAAGGCCTTTGATCGAGTACAGCATCACAAATTAATTACAATATTAAAAGATAAAGGAGTTGATAGTCAAGACATACGATTCATAGAAAAGTTATACTGGCGTCAAACAGCGACAGCTTGCATAAACGGAAATCAACAGAAATATGTAAAATACAAAGAGGTGTCAGACAGGGTTGTATACTATCCCCACTGTTATTTAATTTATATTCAGATAGAATATTTAAAGAAGCGCTGCATAATTTGGAATGGGGCGTGAAAGTTAATGGAATTCTGATAAATACAATCAGATACGAATTGGATTACAATATGACTCTTTTAAATGCCATTGATACAGTGGGAAGAGAGTTTGGCCTAAACATAAACTCTTCAAAAACAAAACACATGGTGTTTAGCCGTTTAGCACATCAAGATGCACGATTATATGTTGATGGTCATATAATTCAAAGAGTGTCCAGTTTTAAATATCTTGATTGCCATATTACTGAACAACTAGATCCAGATCAAGAAATAAAATGTAGAATTGAGATAGCCCGTACGACATTTTTAAAAATGAGGTCATTCTTCTGTAATGATAACTTGAAACTTCAACTTCGAAAGTGTATAGTTAAATGCTACATTTGGTCAGTCCTCTTATACGGTGTCGAAGCATGGACATTAAAAATATCCACCATTAATCGTCTGGAGGCCTTTGAAATGTGGCTGCACAGACGTATACTAAAAATTCCATGGACGGCTATGCTGACAAATGTGGCAGTCCTTGAGAGAGAAAATGCTGCTCGCTAGCTGCTTGATAACATCAAATGTAGAAAGATGGCCTATTTTGGACACGTAGTAAGGGGAGACCGATATAATATTCTTTAACTTATTATGATGGGTAAAATCGAAGGACGCAGAGGAATTGGTAGAAAGAAGGCCTCTTGATTGAAGAATATCAGAGAGTGGACAGGAATAAAGAAAGCTGAGCAACTCTTTAGAATAGCTCGAGACAGAGACAGTTTCGCCATGTTAATCGCCAACGTCAAGGGGACTTGATAGGGCACGTTAAGAAGAAGTACGTGGTATATACAAAATGGATGAAAGGAAGTAAGTATTTTGAGGATCATCATCATCATCACCCAGCCTTTGCCTCCACTGTTGGACATAGGCCTACCCTATTTTTGTCCGTTGTGCTCTGTCTTGAGCGCTTTTCATCCAATTTCTTGACATGTTCTTGAGATCGTCAGTCCATCGTGTAAGGGGTCTTCCTCTACTTCTTTTGTCTAATCTCGGCCTCCACTCAAGCAATCTCTTCGACCACCTTTCATCACTGATTCGGGCGACGTGTCCGGGCCAGTTCCATTTTAGTGTATCAATTCGGGAAATTACATCGGTAACTCCTGTTCTTCGTGTTAAGTCTTCATTTCTAACTCGGACACGAAGCGATATACTCAGCATTGATCTTTCCATTTTCCTCTGAGCTATTTGCAGCGTTTTAGAACTTGTAGATATCAATGTCAAAGTTTCAGGACGATAGGTCATCACAGGCAGCATATATTGGTCAAACGTTTTACGGAGGATACTATGGTATTATTTTTTCAGAAAGTTTTAACATTTACTTTTCTTTTGGATTATATTTTACTATAGTCATTACTGTTATCAATATTTATTCCTTTTTCTGGAAAACATAATGCTCAAAAACGACTGTATGTTAGAACATACGGTAGGATAACATGCTACTCAGTCATAACATTTTGTAACTTTTTAGCTATTGGACAAAACCATTGACTCTTAATGAGTTATTAGATGAGATTAAACACCTAGATGATCCATCTTCATTACCTAATGGTATTATTGTCTTTCCTCCATCCGATAAATATGATACCGACGAAGATTCCGGGGATGAAAACCACATTGACATAAATAACCTTCCAGATAGTCAATTAGGACTACAAGCTGAAGTTGTTTTTAATAGTGCACCGTTGAAAGATGAAGGGCAGAATGATCTTATTATTTCGGGTCCAGAAGATATTACAATTGAAGATTCTGATAGTGAAGATAACCTCGCGTTGTCTGTGCGTATGTCTGGCTTTGATATAAGTGCTCCACTCCTAAACCGAAGAAAAAAGGAGCATTCCTGGAAACAACAAAATATTGATCCCAGTTTTTCCGACTGGAAGCCAGTAAGTGAACAAACAAATTTTTAAAGCCTTTACAGTTATTTTCCCTTTTCATTGATGATGAAATTGTGGACCCAATTTCACATTTTAGTAATCTATATGTATCTCAACACAATCGCTCTGGAGATATCAATCAAAATGAAATTAGGTGTTTCGTTGTGATATTACTTTTAAGCGGATATTTCCCATTTCCTCGAATGTCTATGTACAGGGAAAACAACGATGCCGCAGGGTGTAAGTTGGTGTATTCAGCTATATCGCGAGATAGATTCAATTTTATTATGCAAAATATACCTGTTTTTGATAATACCGAATTACAAAAAGGCAATAAGTTTGCTAAAATGCGTCCGCTATATGACATAATCAATAAAAAATTTCATATGTTTCGTCCATGTGAAGAACATCACAGTGTTGATAAAGCGATGGTCCCTTACTATGGACAGTGTTAGGGAAAGTATGTAATTTTACATTTAATATTTTTTCTGGTACGGTTCTGTAATATGATCTAACTTAGGGTTGTATTCTAAAGAACTTTTAAAATATATTATTTCCTGTTGTCTCATAAAACTTAAACTGGATATCTCATTTATGATGTTGTGAATACGGAGAATTTGGCTTCTCTTTTGTATGGTTCAAAAATATACACACAAGTGTCGTGTTACCGTCACAATTAGCTAAAATTATCGGAAAGGTCGCAATACAAAGGAATGATTTATTGGTACACCCTCTGGGACCACCGCCCAGTAGAGGGTTTCTTCATAGCTCTGATCATATCAACGCATTCTCAACTGGCACTTCTTCGTCAGACAACGATCGATCGACACGCATATAGTTTCCAGACGGTTCTCGTGCTAGGCCTCGGGACGGCGACGCTAACGTCGGTACCACCGACCGACTCTTCAGCCTGGTACGAATTCATCAATAGAACCAAAGGGTAAGTCTATTCTTGTATAGAACATTGATAATGAGTAAACCAGTTTATTTCTAATTTATTTCTACTTTTACAATTTATAATTGCTATTTTCACCAATTTTATGTACCAACAATATAACATTTTTTCGTTATAATTATTTATTCAATATAATTTAAACCAGCGACTTCTCAAGTTTAATCACTAAACAGACAGCATGGATTAAAACAGTTTATCAGAGGTCAACCCATTATATGGGGCTATAAACTATGGATCGGAACCACAGAACAGGGATATGTCGAATGGTGTAAGCCTTATCAAGGTGCCACAACTCCACTTTCTGATGGATACAAGGAATTAGGGTTAAAAGTCAGTGTCGTATTGTCATTTGCCGATAAATTGCAGTCTGATAATCCAGATGTGCCGTTTCACTTATTCTGTGATAATTTTTTGACCTTACTTCTATTACTACGTGAGCTAATAGCAAGAAAGTTAAAATGCACTAAGACACTTCAAGAAAATCGAGTTCCGGGTTGTCCTCTAAAAAATTCCAAGCTTTTCAAAAAAGATCAGAGGGGTGTATTTGAATAATCACTCGTAGAAGACAAAAATATTATAGTATGTAAATGGAACGACAATAATGTCGTTACTATTGCATCAAATGCTACTTCACCACTGCCAACC